GATGCAGGCGAGCTGGCAGCTGCGAGCCTGCTTGCTGCAATGAACATTGAATGTCATGAAATGCAGCAAGCATGCAAAACATTACCAAACACTCGTGAGCAAGCACACATACCGTGCAGCATGCCGATTAAGTCGGTGATGCACATGCTCATGTGTGCACACACACATGAGCAGAAGCAAAAAGTTGGTTGGCATTGCATCGCTTTCGAGCCCTGCACAGCTGGCTTAGCAGCCGTTCTTCTTCTTCCACAGCAGAATGGCCTCTCTGTGGGCCTCTCGCTGGCACTCTACCACTTGCTGCTCCGAGAAGCCTTGGTGCTTTGCCCACGTTCCGGCTCGCTTGTACATGCGAGAAGCATAGTTCTTCTGGATGCAGCCGTCCTCCCAGACAATTTGGAACTTCCGCTTTCCATGCGAGCCTTGGGCTTGCTGCTCCTTTGCTTTGCCTTGGCCTTTCTTCGAAGCACTCTTGTCCTTGGACTTTCCTTTGCCTTTGCCGCTGCCCTTCTTCTTTGGATCTTGGCCTTGGCCATTCGTTTTTGTCTTGTTCTTTGCCAAGTTTCCTTGGCCACTCGCTGCAGCTGCAGCGGCCGGCTTCTTCAGAATCCCAGCTTTGCGATCTTTGAGCTTCTTGAACAAAGCTTCGTCCTCGAGATCGTTCTCGGCAGGGAGCGACTCCGTTGCTTCGGGTTCTTCGGCTGGAGGCAGGGCTAGCTGCAAGGCCGACTGTCGCCCTGGCGAGGTCTGCTGTGTCGCAGCCGAAACCGGCTGGGCTGGGTTGCCCAGAGCAAAGCCGACCCCGGCACTGCTGCTGCTCAGCTCGCCTCCTGTGATGGAGTTCCGTCCAGGGGTCCTGCAGCAGGTATACAAATGGAAAGGCATGCATGGGCTGTGTATATACAGATGCAAAACAAAGGAAAAGATAAAAGAAGCATGCAGTCCTCCTTTGCAAGATACTTGCGCCTGCAGCAAGCTGCAGCTCCCTTCGCCCACCATCCTGGATGGCATTCTGACCGCAGCCCTGGTCCAGCATTCTTTCCAGTCGCCCGAAGCACTGCTCCATGCGGCTCTGGAACTCGTTCGCATGCTGCTCAGACACGGCGGCCTGGCCATCTGGCCTCGGCAGCCTCTGCTTCTTGTTCTTCTGCAAGAGCTTGGAAGTAGATCGCATCGGAATGTGAGCTAGCCAGATCCCAGCCCTCACGTCTTTGCCCATGGGCGGGTCCTCAGCCTTGTAGGCTCGGTCGAACAGAGCCTTCGGCAAGCTGCTGGGGTCATCGGGATACGTGAGCAGGCCGACCTCAGTCGGCTCTGCATCCGTTTTCACGGATTCCCAAGATCTCTTGAAGACCTGGACCTCTTCGTAGATCTCTTCATATGTCGGCATCTGACTGAGCTCGCCGGCTGCCAGTGCCAAGAGGAAGGCCAGGCCTTTCTTGACCGTCTGTTCTGTGAGGTTCCTCAGGCCCAGCTGCAGATACCTTTTCAGAAGGATTTCCAGCCTTGCCGGTGCTGGCGACTTTTCCAGCATAGACCACTCAGTGACCGTGATGAAGTTTTCCGGCTTCAGCAAGGTCTGCGGCTTGCTTTCCTCCTTTCGCTTGTGAGGCGTATATGTAGTATCTGGCGGCGGTGTTGCAGCCGTGGCCGTTGCCAGAACTTTGGCTTCAACTTTTCCAAGCAACCGTTCTGACAGGGTGCTCTCGAAGCTCAGATCCTGGATCGTCTGCTTCATCTGCATGGCTTGCCCTAACGACAGAGAGCCAAGGCTCTCCAGCCGGGTGCACCAGCTGTTCATCAAAGCATCGACCGAAGCCTTGCTCCCACTTTGTGCCCACTCGGCCATAGGGCTTAACTCGGCCTGCAACTCTCGGGCCATCTCGCCGTGGCGAGATATATATAGCCGTGGCCAGAAAAGGAGAATCCAGAAGCCCCCTCTATAGGAGCCAAGATGCTACAACCCCACTACAGGAGCCAAAATGGCAGCTGCATGCACATACATGGAAAAAGAGCATGGTACAGGTCGCCTGCATGTGTGTGTACGTGCAGATTCCCAAAATCCAGGATGCATGCAGGATCAATCTTTTTCATCGGAGGGAAGCAGGCAGGATGATTTGTCGTCGGCCTCCGGCCATGTCTCTCCATGTGCATGCACACAGAAAGTCTCTGCATGGCAGCAGATGCAGGCTGTCTATGCAGGAGCACTCCCCCACGAGGTCATCGCAAAGCAGAGAAGAAATGGAATGCACAACACTGTAGGCTTGCCCTGCCAGTTCCACGAATGCCCAGACAAGGGCACACTCCAAGCAACCGTTCCCTTCAAGCAGCACCGCATCGCCACGACATATCCGTTCCCCGGAGGGCAGCCTGACTTTTTCTGCCACATGAATCACTTGTGCCGAGGTCAGCTCCGGAATGATTTTGCGAAGTGCTGCCGCCTTCCTCCGAGAAGCTGGCTTCGGGTCCTGCAACTGCAGCATCGCTGCGAAACAATCAGCTCTTGCCAAGCAATATAGTTCTTGTCCAAGAACTTCTCGGAGAAGACCCTGCTCGTAAGCAGAAGTCTTCTTGATGTCCTCGGCGAATCTCTTGATAGTGCGATGCTTTCTTTCGTGAGTGTAGCACTGAACCATGAAACCCCACTTTTCCAGGTGCGAACCGAAGTGGAGAAGCCAATGGAACTTGGAATGCATGCGGTCCTGCCACTCAGCAGCATGCACTGCTTGCAAGAAATCGGAAACGTGCTTTCTCATCTGGCCGGGCGAAACCGCTCCCTCACTGCGAGCTCTCTGGCAGCATGCCACGAGTTTGTCCAGCTGCAAGAAACATTGGATCGCTTGCACTGCCTCAACATTTGCATTTGCCCTGGCGAGCTGCCTGAAGAAACAAGCCAATATTGGAGACAGTGTCAAGCCTTCGGAGGCCGTGCATTTAAAGGTCTCGGCTTCCTTGCATGCTTTTGCTCGGGACTGACCCAGCATCCCTTCGGCCTTGGCCGAGATGTTCCGGGGCAGGGTCCACTTGGCCACGTACTCGTCGGCGATTTCCCAGAGATTGGGAAACTGCTTCTGCAAAGCTTCCAAAACAAGCCAGGTCACTGTCTGGAAGACACCGGAGACCAGCAGGGTGTGCATGCTGTCGTGGCAATACTGTGAGACCGGCCGGACCAGCCATCGTTGATCCTCTTGTTGCAGCAGGGAACAACTATTATAAGTCCAGCCGGTGGCTTGCTGCCACGTGCTGAAATCTGCAGCATTCAGAAGCATCTTCTTTTCTGCCAGTTTAGCCATGGCCTCGTGGATGGATTGGTCGGTCGCAAGCGAAAGCTTACTTTCTCGGATCTCAGAGGAACCGACCACGGGGAGCCCGCTGCTGTGCAGGATATCACATCGTTGTGCTATTACATTCCTGCACAGCATGCACATGCGGGTGCCAGCATCCCCCTTGCAGCTCCATAGAGCTTTATGGGCACCACCGTCTTGAACGATCATTGACAAAACCACCCGGAAGAGGACGGGCGGACCTCCTGGTCGCTGCAACGATATGCACCCGTGCTCCAAATGGTTGGCCGGCCGCATGAATATGTCTCGCAGGATTTTCGAGATCCATTGAGAGACACCTGCTTCGGCCTTGGCCATCAGGCTGGATCGGAGCAGTCCTATGCATAGCCACGACTCCTCGTGCTGCAATGCATAGCTTCCAAGTTCTACGAACGAGGCATAGCAAGCCCAGATTTTTCTCTTCGTCTGGACTGCCAAAGGATTACCCGGCACGATCTCGTCCGTATAGAGGATCAGCCGCCATGCCGAGCTGGGGCTCGGAGGATTCTTGTCGATGCACGCCCAAAAATATTGGGCGAAGTTGCTGTCGGCATCCGAGATAGCAGCTTGCAGCAGAGCCCAAAAATCGACACTGGGTATCTGCAGCTCTGCACCATCTGTCTGCAAAAGTGACAGACGATTGAGGATCCTATTCTCTTTCAGGGGTTGCCAGGCAGCCTCGGCTATATGTTTTCTTTGTGTGAGTTCCGGGACACCCTCGTCCCGCAGAACTTTGCAAACTTCGGACAAAGCCGAGGCTGTGAGATGGGGCAATTTCCTTCTCAGAGCATTCACCTTCTGAAGCTTCGCTGGTCTTTCAGCAAAAGCATCGGTGCTGCTGGAGGCCATGGCCCTATATCACCACGGCACCGCACCAACAGCAAATGCCGGAACATCTCCGTGGAGAGTTCCTTCTTCTCCCTGTGCCTGCAGCAGCAAGCAGCCACATACACGCCTCCGTGGAGGCTTCCACACGCCTCCGTGGAGGCTCCCACACGCCTCCGTGGAGGCTTCCACACGCCTCCGTGGAGGCTTCTCGCATCCTTGGATGCTGGGTCTCCATGGCAACAACAAACCAAGCTACAGGACGGGTGACACAACAAATGGCCCCAGGAAGGGGTGCCTGTCTGCGAACACAACTGCACCAAACCTTGTCTGTGCTCGACTCTGGGCATCTGTATGCATGCTGCACGGCTGCTTGGGCCCTGCTTTCCGCTGCTCAGACAACACATTTCGGCAGGCCCACAAAACCCTCAAAATATGATATAGAAAAAACTATATCATATGAAAACAAAGTCAATCATATGATATAGTAGAAACTATATCATATGAGGCCAAAATATTACATATGATATAGAAAAAACTATATCATATGATATCTGGCCCCACAGACTTATATGATATAGTAGAAACTATATCATATGGCAAGCGATGCCATCATATGATATAGAATATGCTATATCATATGGTTCACTTTCAATACATATGATATAGAAAAAACTATATCATATTTTCTACGTTAGAATAAGGTTCCAATCTTAAGGATAACCGAAATTTATTCTTAAAAAAAAACCCCTAAACCCTAAACCCTAGAAGAGAAAAAAGCGCGGAAACACTCTTTTTTTCACCAGACGGCAGCCGGCACTCTGGTTTTTCGGAAGACGGCAGGCGGCTGCCGAGCTAGTACCGCTGCCGAAGCTCCTGGCAGGCGATTTGGAAAAGGCTCGTGATCACTTTCCCGTAGGAGCTCCCAGACCCTCCTTCCGGATCGTCCGGGTCCTTCTTGTCCGGCATTGGGACGTGATCATCGTCCCGTACCGGCGACTCCTGTCGCTTACGTTTGGCCTTAGCCTTGCTGCCCTTAGCCTTGCTGCCCTTCTTCTTGTCCTGGCCGGTCTTGCCAGCCGTAGCTGCAGGCAAAAGCTTCAGCGGCTTTCGATCCTCTTTGGCATCCTCGGGCTCAATCAGGGAGATTGTCTCTCCTGCCCCCGGCTTTTTTCTCTTCTTCGTGCCCTTAGCCTGCTCAGGACGGCCCTTCTCAGCTTCCGTATGGGCCTTGGCCCCCGAGGGGCCGGAGCCGCCTCTCCCATCACCATAGCCATATCCCTGGCCCTTGTCGCCATATCCCTGGCCCTTGTCGCCATATCCATGGCCCTTGTTGCCGGAATCCCGCCGCACCTCCCACCTTGGGACTTCGGATTCCTCTTCGCTCTCCTCTTCCCTCCCGGGCTGCCAGTGCTCCTGGAACCGGCGCTTTGCCCGGCCTGCAGCAGCCTCCTTGCTGAGCCCTTGGGCTATGTATTTCCAAGTTCGGTGATACACCGACAATCGGTGCTGGTGACGGGCGGCCGCATGCTCCTGTATCCACCTCCAGCAAATGGGGCACTTTTTGGACGGGCCCTTGGGCCCGTCCGAAGGCTTGTTGTCCTTCTTCTCATCTGCTGCCTTCTCATTTGCCCCCTTCAATTTTTCATCCACCTCCTTGTCCTTTTTCTCTGATCTCTCTCGTTCGCTTTTCTTTTCCTTCTTCTTCTCTTTTTTATCCTTCTTTCCCTTTTTTTATCCTTCTTTTCCTTTCTGGCCTGCTCTTCTTCTGCCCAGGACTGGAGAGCTGCCTGGGATGCCGCGACCCTGGCTGTTGCAAGCTTTCTCTCCAGCCTCTGCCTGCCGGCGGCACTTATCGGCCATTCAACAGTCTTCTCATCCAGAGAAGGGACTCTGGGCTTCGAGGCCGCAGCCTCCGAGGCCGCCTCCTTTGGCTTCGAGGCCGTAGCCTCCTCCGGCTCCTCCTCCGGATCCTTTTCTTCGTCCTCGGACTCAGTTGCCTCCTCGGAGGCCACAGTTTCCTCCTCAAAGTTCTCCTCCTCCTCTTTCTTGTTCTCGTTCTCCTCTGGCTTTTTGTTGCCATCCTCCTCCTTTTTCTTTTTGTCCTCGGACTCTTCGTGAGATCTCGACCGTAGTCGAGGATCTCGTCGTTCTTCTCTATCCTCTGAGCTCGAGCTCCTCCTCCTTCTATCCTGGTCCCGGTGCTTGGGCATGGCCGACGACTTCGCCTGGCCAGGACAAAAAAAGGGTTTATAGAGGATCGGGGAGGGTATAGGGTTTAGGGAAGATCCCTTAAGCCAGACTCTTTTTAGCACATGTATATATATATATATATGTATATATATATATATATATATATACATAGTATTTGGTGCATGCCGTGGCATGCACCCACGAGGAAACCGTGGTCTCCTCTCCCAAAGCAAAGCAAACCGTGGTCTGCTTGCTTTGCATGCTTGCCAGCAGATGCAAACAAACCTTGGTCTTCCTGCATTCTGCCGGCCAGCACGGTTGCCGAAAAGCAACCCATGCATGCATCACTGACTAAGCAAACCGTAGTCTGCTAGCCAGCTCTGCAGGAGACCGTGGTCTCCTCTCACCGACAGATGGCAAACCGTGGTCCACCACAATTATAAGGAGACCGTAGTCTCCCGGCTTTGTCCAAAACCGCAGTCTCCCGGGCTGCCTATAGTCTATAGTTACATATCTATATCTGTATATATGTTTCGTTTGAAAGAAACTTAAAAGGATCCCTTGCCTGGCCTCGTAAAAAAGGCCAGCCCCCATCCAAGGGCTCCCTACAGGAGCCCAAACAGCTGCAAACACCGGCACAAACTTCCCAACCTGCACATGCGAGGCTACAAGTCAAACAACTGCATGCACATGAGACAACAAGGCTTTGCATGGTTTTCCTGAAGCAAACGAACCTTCAGTTCACTAGCACCCCAGGCTTCCTCCGTTGGAGGACTGCCCCTGGCTTTTTGCTGCCCTTTTGGCAGCCGCAGTCGCCTCAGCCTCCTGCAGCGGCAGGGGATCCAAGGGCCGGGCCTTGGCCCCGGCTTTTTTGACAAGCGAATACCTTCTGTCGTCGCCTGTCCGTTGAGCCTGGCGGCCTTGGCCGATTTTCACGACTTTGTCCTTCGCAGCAGTTCCCTTAGGAAAGCTTTGCCGTGCTCTAGTTTGAAAAGACTCAGCAGTAAGCACGGCATTTTGTGTTGCTTCAAAGAACAATGCCATATCATCCAAGTGGACTTTGGGCACATCCGTGACATGGCCCGCCTCCAGGACACGGATCTCCTTTCCCATCCAGGTAACCTTCAGCACATTCTTTTCTGCTCTTGCTTCCCTGGAAGCACGGCGGGACAAGCGAGTCTTCGCTGCTTTTCTCGGAGAGCTGCCTGTTACAGACACTAGAGCAGCCTCGCTGTCTTCCCCGCCGAAAAGGCCAGAGCTCTGTTCTTTCAGTTTCTCTGTCTGCCGCTTGGACTGCTGCTCCTTGGAGGCATCGTTTCGGGAGCCCACGAGCGATAGATAAACATCGCTCTGGGACAACGATGACTTCGCCGGGTATTTTGGCAGTTTTATCCTATGCTGCTTAGAAAGCAGCTTGCACAAGCCCGGGCTCCATGGACGAAGTACCACAAACGGACCATGGTCCGTTGGTTCTAGCTCCTTGTCACCC